TTATGAGCGTGTTTATAGGCTTATCACAATTAAGCTTTAACTCGGGATTTTAAGTCGAATCAAATAATGCATAGCTGAAAGTTTAAACTTCCTATGTTAATTTTGAACTTTCTTTGCCACATTGAGCATTTCACAACGAAGGCCACGATTTCACTCTCCTTTCCCCAGCGAACCCTCTCTTTATAAACAGCGACAGCAATAGAAACCGCTTGCTTCTGTTCAACGTACAGCTTTCAACGTGTATATGTCCATATATGAAAATTTTCACGGAAAAAATGTCACCTGACATCTGGTCTGCCAAGTCCCTCGACTTAACAATTTTATTTAGTTGGAAATTTGCAGAAAATTTCATTGTTTTATTAACTGCTAACGCACTTGGTGGAATAACTCAAGCTGCTCTATGGAAAATAGCAAATAGTTGCCCAATGCTAATTATATATGTATATATATATAATATATATATATAAAATATATGAAGATTCCATTGCTCATACATATCCGTCATTCCCCTAAGTAGCTGGAGTAGGTAAGAACTGCGAATGCCACATGGGTGTGCGTCGCGTCAAACCTCGACTGCGGTAGAGATTTCTTTGTTCGTAGCTATAGTATGTGCTTAGCCGGTACATTAATCGGGCACGAACACATTAGACTTCGGCCGCTACCTCCCAATTTCTTTCCTATTCCACTCTACTTTCTGACGATCCCCGTAGTATACGAATGTTGGATATCGACTGAGTTATTGGTTATGATAAGAAAAAAATATATATGCATATGTAAATCCTCAAGCAAACGCACGCACAAGCGCAAACAAGTGTTTCTTCCATAACATTAATGCATCCAAGCGCATTTAAGTGAATCTGTTCCATTATGGTACACATATGTTTATAGTGCGCTGCCTAGCATATACATCTTGCACAAATGTGTAGCGAATTACTACTTCATTGTTAGTTGGTTCGTTTGCTTATTTATCGCGGAGAAGAACCAGCTGTTATTTTATTTTTTTTTTTGTTTAGATTTTGACAGCACTTTATACTTCAACTTGAATACGGCATTTCGTTAATCAACGTTTATTTTGTGTTGGCGTGTTCAGCTCGTAGAATGCAATAAATAATTTCAATAAAGTTCGAAAAGTTGGTGCTCAAATTAAATTTTCATTCGATTGCGGAATTTCGCGTATGGTTTGCATTGCTAATAATTAATTGACTGAGATATTGATTTTTATTCCTAATTTCAATTTTACTTTTTACAATTACTATTATTATTTTTATTAATTTAGCCAGAGAATAAATTGTAAGATTAAAGTCTTAAAACACAGGCATCTAAGGCTATCGACTTTATTGAAAACTTCATCGCACTTGAGATTTCAACCTACAACCATTGAATTGCTAATCGGGACTTTTTGCTTACTCGGCCAATCGGGCCGATTGGCTAAGATGTTAAATTTATCAACTAAATTTTTACTATTTTCTAATTTTAATTTTTTTTCCAATAAAAATTAGGTGTTTTTTTTTTTTTTTAAATATCTGATATGGATTCAATTATTACTTGTTTTGTACGGTATTTAAGTATTTTTCAATCTTACATAAGTTTTATATTTTTTTTATTTTTTTTTTTACACACTTTTCTAATAAGTATATCTACCGTGTAAAATAAGAGTTGAGTGTATAATACTTTCGCTTACCACTAGTTGAAAACTTAACACTACCATTGAATTGTATTTGCATAAACCGTTATCAAACTGAGTTCGGTAGACGGTTCTCTTTATCGAGTAAAATTAATATCGAATTTGCGTTTGGAATTGATGGTTCTCGGTAACGAGCACTCGTTAACAAGAATTCGGTTAATAATACTCGATAGTATATTTGTGTTTGCTCGATATCGAATGAGAAAACTTAAATCTTAAATCTTAAGTGGAAAGCAACATAACTACTGAGAAAATCGAGTAATTAATTTCGGTGCTTTTATCTGTTTGTGTCATAAAGTATGAAAATGAATAAATGATTATGGAATTAAGAAAGAAATCTCCGACAACGACAAAAAGTGAAAATATAGGATTACTAGCAAATATTTTAAAAGTATGTGGGAACCGTGACATATACTATGGAGATTATATAATATATCAAGGTAGCAAGTATGAAATTTAAATTCGGCGTGGGCCGAATCTCGCCTATCCATTACGTCAATGCTTGGTCCATCTAAGATTTTAATGTCTAAGAAAGCGGTGTTTTTTTAAACGCCCACCACAATTAATTTAGAATTAATATACCGTTACGAAATTCGCTTCTTTTGATACGGTTTATATAACAAGATCGTGGTTTTATTTACAATTAATTTGTTTAAGTGCAAGACTGTTTACAGTTTACTTAGTTTGACAGCATTCTTAACTTACGGTTTCTTTTCGACTCAAATGCTTTTTCCCGCCTGACTAGGCCCTCCACAAATATTCTGTTTATATACATTTTTACAAGCATATCACTATTACCCAAGTTAATGGATTCATTTTCTATCCGTTAATTCACTTTTCCCCTTATCTGTCACGTTCGTCGACAGCTGAATGACACGCCACGAATTTGTACTTGCTTCTTCCTTCTCTCGGAAATTTATTTTGTGGGAATATCAATTAGTTGAAATAAACTGGATTTGGGGTTTTCGTAACAACACTTAATTTCTCGATTCCTAATCTCCATATGCTTTTATGTGATAACCATATCAACGGTATTGTTACGAAAAAATTACTGCACCATGTCGTCATGACGGAGATATTTAATTTAGAACTAACACAATTCTCTTCGCGGATTCTACTTTCCAAGTTCGTTTATTGGATATCCATACTGCTGGCATTATTGAAAAAAAAAATTGATTCAAGAGTTCGCGGTGTCTACTACATCCGTTATATTTTAGTTTGAAGTATTCACAGAATAGTTTTAAATATTCTGCCTTGTTTGCCTTAGGATAAATAATAATATAAAAAATAAAATTTAGTCATTTGTAGCGTTGTGTGGACATGGCTGATTTTTTCCCTTTTTTGCACGTAAAAAATACACTGTTTCGTAAAGTAAAAACGGAAAATTTTAGCTTTCTCACTGTTATAATTTCTGACTAACGAGCAAAAATGCACAAATTTTTATTAAAAAACTTATCTTACATTATACTTTAGTCTTTCGTGTGCCTATCACACCATCTTGTTTTCTCATGCTCAAGCGACAGGCCGCAATTTTTGGGATATTTGACGAATCGACGCTGTACACCGACATGTTATTTGGAAAAATTGTTATATGAATAAACGAAGTCTCCTACTGTGCCGTTTTTACTTTTTAAAGAGTAAGTTAGAAAGTCAAAATATTTGGAGGAAAATTTTAGGAAATCAACCTTGAACTGCATTAAATTGAAGAATATTTCCGAATGCCTTCGGACATAAGTGTTATATTCCATAAAAACAAGGCATCTCGCTCATTACCACGCTTAGGCTATTCCATCTGCCCATCTGCTATTAGTCTTCTCAAACTCATTAGCGCGGGAGTTTGGATTGTAGAAAATTGAAACTATTCTATCTCCTGGTTTGCTAGTGAATTCTTAGAAACTGAATGATAACATTTGTCATAAAAGACAATGTTACCGATCGTGAAAAAGAACTTCTCACATGCTGTTCGAATGTTGAAAATCAGAAATACTTAATACGCGAACCCAGGAATGAACTACGCAACATCTATTTAGAAGTTAGAGTCAGCTCCCAGCAGACCTATAAACAGTAAACATAAAATAATTTCCAAAAAAAAAAAAAAAAAAAAGAGAAGAGAAGCAAAAAAAAAACACCATCGTGGACTGCGGCCCAATATTAAATACCTTACACCATCCTACAATTATTCATATAACAAATTCTCAAAATAATAAATATATGGGAAGTTATCGAAAAAGTGATCCGATCCGAGCTTAAATCAATTCAGAAAGTGATTCGGAATCGATAGGTACATTAAAAAAAAGATGGGTCCATCTCAAGTACTTCTGGGAGTGTTGGAGGGTATAAAAGTGAAAAAACTTTCAAAACTTTTACACCGACATTGAATTGATTGTTCTGGGATATATTTCATGCACTTGCAAAAACCTTTTTAGCCTAATAATAGCCGGATAATAGCGGCTTTCATTCATCCACTATACTTTATGGAATATCAAATTTTCTCAAGGCTTCTTACTCGTCATCCTGCTGCACAAAATTTTTGTACGCACACTGTACATTGCCAGCTAGCGAGGAAAATGAAAAGAAACATTATCTACGTATGATAGAGTAAAGGAAATGTAAACATTTTCAAACTCTCAAACGGACGAGCATTCCCCGCTCTCGCCTATTAAATTAACAAACCGGATTTCATTGGTGAAATACGTAGAATGAAAAGGAAAAAGGAAATTAAGTGTACATCAAAGGTTCTAATACATCAGTGATTTTGTGCATTAATAATACGGGACACTGCGGATTTTTTCTTCCCGCATGTATCTATAGGAAGATTTGTTGGTATTATATATATATTAACATTTCCTTCTTTTTTTTTTTTTTTTTTTTGTTTGTTTTTTGTTTATGCATCTAATGGAAAGATAAAGTGAAGCGAAAAAAAAAAAATTAAATTGAAGCGGTTTTTTAGATTAGTAAAGGAACTGCAATTTTCTTATTCTTTTTAATGGTTCGTTTTCAAAAAGCATTTTCTCAAAGAACGTAATGGCCACACGCACACGCGCTTTCATACACATTCACATTCGTCAAGTTGGCTTTGCAATTACATTTTCCCAAATTTTTTTTTTTCTTGCTATTTATTTTATATTATTTTTATACAAAAAGGGAAAAACCAATAAAAAAAAAAGACTAAATTTAAAATTAAAATTAACAGAAAAATTGCAATTGATTTGAAAAATTTGAGTTATCACACAAGACACTCAAATGTGAATACATAGGTTGTAAAAATAAATTATTTCTTGTTTTTTTTTTTTTTTTTTGTTTATTTATTTATTTATTTAAAAAACGGCCACACATAACTGACTCATACAGTTTGCTGTTCTGTTTGGGTCTGAACATCACGTTGGCGGCTTAAACGATAACCTAAATAGGCATCCAATGCATAAAAGCTAAAAGCGAGCAAAGCGAAAAACTGCAAAGAAACGAAAGAGGAAAAAATCAACATCAACACACAAATGTACAGAAATTTTTTATTATTATATTATTATTTACTATTATATTACATTTTGCTATCTGTTTACACCAGGTGAGTGAATTAATATCCTCGTTTTTATTACAATGTGTAAGAGCATGTTCTATCAAATTTTGTTCATCAGCAAACCAAAAAATGGGAAATATGGTTACTGAGTAAGGCGGCAGGAAAGTGATGCCAACCATCGGATCGACGCTCCATCGAAAATATAAAAAACTTATAAGGAGCGTTTGTAAAGCTTAGAAACACAAATCGCGCGTATTGCAATATATTTTCAATTAATGTGTCCGTCCGTCTGTCTCTTAGAAATCGAGATTATAATCGTATCATTGTCTATAGGAAAAGAAAGTTGATTTAAACTTTTTTTTCGATTAACCTTAACAGTAAATTTTTTCGCAATTTTGCCCATTGATCCGCCTACAATTACCGATCGACTTTCAATTTTTTCTAAATTACGTCTGTAAAATTTTCAATTTTCTTTAAAAGTTCAACAACGTTATCAATTCGTAATGTGAGGTGAACCAAGTTAAAAATTCTGCCAGCCTCAGGAGGCTGTATACGAAGGTATATATATAAATATGAGGTGTGTTCAAAAAAAAAAACGATGAAAAATGTAATGAAGTGCTCCAATTCATCAAAAATATTGACTGTGGCAGTTAACGAGACATCCTTGAGCAAAAAAAAAAAAAAAGAAAAGAAGATCTTCACTGAAAGCTGAAGAAGATGTTACAAAACGATTCACGCCTTGGACGACCCAGCACGAAAACGTTAAAGCAGTGAAAAAAATTGTTATGGAGGATCTTCGAATCACGGCGAAGTTTTTTCGGAAATTGCAAAATTTTAGCCAAAAGAATCTGATATATCGCTCACTAGCTGTTCAATGATGTAAACGACGATCTACATTTACGCGAAAGGATCATAGATGGTGACGAAATTGAAAAGACCCATGAAAAGCGAATTAAGAAGGTTAAGACCGCTTCGCTGGAAGTTGTTCAAGACATATGTGGAAGTGCTTCGAGAATTGAGAAAAGCGCTGACACAAATTCGTTTCTATCTAATGGGGATTACTTTGAAGGGCACAAAACAGATATTGATAATTAAATATTTTTCGGGAAAACAAAAAAAAAAGCCTTTCCTTTCTGTATGTATATATATTTAAGTATATGTGTAGAAGATATCATGCTAATGTGATCTTCAGTTTACATAGTTACCTATATATGCTGACAACCATTATATCGTTTATCAATGGATCAACAACGCTATCATACTATCATGCTGTGTATATCTTCATGCTTGCATGTATTTTGATAACTTTTTCACTTAAAAAGGCGTTCATTGAAAAGAATTAGGACAACACATATTAATGAAAGTATTTTGCGGCATTCTCTACAACTTTTCCCTTCTTTCTGCCAGCATAGCGATACCGTGTTGAAAGAACGATATTGGGTTGGGAGCGATCCAACTATCGACCCATTTTTGGACTTCTTCAATATTTCGAAGGCTCTATGGCTAGTGAGTTGCAACAGTGTATCTATGACAAACCTTACGAATCTTGTGGCCGAAGGTTGCCCTGCAAGAGGATGACTTTGCGTCCGTTAATTGCTACTGCTGGTCTTTTTTGCTCGATTCGATTTGTTCAATTGAGGTCGGCAGACATCTGCAGGAGCGGTTTCATTGGATTTTATCGGCTCGTAATATGCTACACTTTGCTGATTCCACCATATGCACAGGAAAGTTTTATGGCAATGAATATTCCGCTTTTACGTCGAAGGAGTTAGCTCTCCCGGATTAACCGATGATTTTTTGCGCTTGGGGTACCTGTAATAGATTCACTTTTCATCGCCAGTCACAATACGCCATAGAAAATTCTTTTTTTTGCCTGGTAAGCGAAATTTTCAGTCAATTCCTATGTTTGCCATTTTCCCTCCTTTCGGATCCTTCCCATCACATGTAAACATCTAAAAACAGTTGAAGGTTGTTTGAAAGCTTTTTGGGAGTTTCACGTGACTTTTCCTCCAATAAGTCTTACAATGCATTGTCTTCGAACTTTTTAGATCCTCAAGGCCGCTGTCTCTGTCATTGACGTCAAAATCACCACTTTTAGGCCGTTGAAACAAAAACCGACAATGGGAATATGATGGAGAAGCCTCATCAAAATCTTTTAAAAATTATCTAATAGAGTTTTTTTCAAATCGAACAACAAACGTAATGAATGCCGGAAATGCGATTTTAAGCGTTCCATGATTAGCGTCTGTGTACACTGAATAACTTAATAATATTAAACGAAAAATGATTACTTTATGTAGAGAAAAGTGAAAATTATCGAATTTATTTATTTTGTATGCAGGGATACTTCCCGTTGTTTTACAAAATGTATGCAAGCATTTTTTATATACATATATATTTACTATATATACTATTATTGTATTGTAGTGTACTTAGTTTAGATTTGCAAAGAGAGCGTACTTATCAATTGCTATTCTATTACTTCCCTGACCCATTCAACAAAATATTACATTTAGCGCTTTGTATATAATTGAGTCATATGCACTAGCGCTAACACTATATGATAATAATATGTATTATAAAGCGGAATTCAGAAAATGTGTTCATGTAGCATTGCGAGTGCCCTAAATAATTCTGGAAAAATAAATATCAAAAGAATTTATATAATGAGCTGAATAAATTACGTATGCAAACGTAAGCGTAAAATTCTTAAGCCTAATTATACTGTACGCCACTTGTGGTAAAAATATCTTAAGTTAGTGCGAATGTACACTATATATAGACAGATCAAATTATTATTAGGCCAGTCGTACAGAATCGTCTTATTAATCAACTAAGGCATCTACTTGTCTAGTGCTTGGCTGGCCTGGTGCCTACTCATCGTTACTTGTTTGGAAGCATTGTTTTGAATTCACTTCCATTTAAAGATTTAAAAATGCAAAGTAAATTTTTACTTACGAATCACTTATGATTTTTGGCTCTTTATGCCAAAGATTGGAGGAAGCTTCTGCTAAGCGAAGTAATGTAGGGTAATAGTAATAGCCTGCCTTGCAAAATAAATATATTTTAATTAGTTTTTAGTTTTCGTTATCAATTCTTTTACCCGACATCCCCATATAAAAGTCTACCTTGCCCGATTATAACAATTTAAGTTCTTTTAATCCTCCGTTCGCGTATATAAAATGGAAAAAATCAAACAAAATTGTCATTTATGAATGAAATGATCACCTTAATGCATGCAATTCGATGAGCTCAAGTTTTTTTCTAGCTAAGGAGAATTTCTACCCAAGCATTGATAGTTGAAATCAAGACATATCGACACTTGAGACATTTGATCCCAGAAAATCTTCCGTTTAAGCGGAGCTTCACGTTTACTTTGGCTACAGGGACAAATGACAGTGAACGACACTGACAACAATGAAATGGCAAACAATCGTCGTCGACAATCAATATTAAGTGCAATATGTTTATTAATTTTTATACACACCACCACTTGTGATACAAGGTATATCAAGCTTGCACGTTTGTATGTAACAGCTAAAGAAGGTCAAAATAGATGAGCATTTTATTAAACCGATCGATTCAGAATGATTTTCGATTCGAATTAAGAATCGATTCAAGAATATCTGTCCATCTGTCCGTCTGATATTTGTGTAATGGTCGGCTCGCACTTTTGGAGATATTTTGAAGTAATTTGTTACACTGATGTGTTTTGCTCGCAGATGAACAGTTCGATTGAAAATAGACTGCATCGGACAATGTTTACGACCTCATTAGCCATATAATAACTTATCTTAAAAAAGTCGCTACTAACTCGATGTGAAGAACATGGATCGGATAGGCTAATATTTTGAACCACCTACATAACCGTTTTATATGTGATTAAAAAAGGTAAGCCTTTATATGGAAAAACGGTATAATTTTTAACATTTCAATGAAAGTTGATCCGTAATAGTGTTTTGACATAAAACTCAACGAAATTTTGTCATGGTAGGATTATTTTTGGTACCGCACTCCTTGTAAGACATCCGACGAAAATTAAGTAAGTAAAGGGTTTTTCTATAAATTGACATAGAAATATTAACATATCAAATTTAGGCTGCCTAGACCTATTTTACGGACTGCATTCCGTTTAAGTGGAGCGCAAATTTTTGTATGGCAACAACGCTTAACTTTTACTGCTTTAAGACGAGTAGAACTAAAATTTTTGGCAAATAGATTGAATTTGTCAGTTATCGCCCTCTCCGGTATAAGGAGGTCCCATAAAATCTATACTTTTAAGTCGAAACAAAGTAGAGTTTTCCATAGTTTATCACGAAAAACGGTCTTACCAATCTATAATTGCTTTTATATGTTAGTTATCAGAGTTATTATAATCCATTTATAATGCAATAATAAAATGTACAATGTGGACCCGTTCTGCTTCTGCTGTAGCCTCTATTGAAATTCATTCGAAATGCAAGAGAAATGAAAATTTGACGTAAGAAATAATATGAAATATAAAATGAAAGGAATTAATTCAATCATCGTTGTATAAATTGAAGACATATTACAAGTGAAAATGATTTCACACCTTGACGCCCATTCGCAATATATATTTTTTTAAACTGTATGGCTAAGTATTCGATACAATTCAGTTCAATGTCAAATCAAAAAAAAAAAAATAAATAAATAAAGAAAAATAAATAAATAAATAAACAAAAAGTTGTAATGTTTGGGGGAAAATACGTACATACCGTTGCTATTGTATACGCTGTTACATCCAAGGATATCGTTGTGGAGGCAGCAATAAAACAGGCAACCGCCAAAAATACGTGCAGGTAATATTCACATTTAATGGCATTGAAAATGTAAAATTTGTGCGGCCACAGTTGAAACAGACGTGCTCCCAGCACTAACGATGTGCACACAAATGCGAACAGTACGACGGTATTGTAGAAACAAGCGCGAAAATTGTGCAAATGTACGGAACTGCATAAAATGCATATGAAGCCGAAGAAACAACACGTCTGTAAATGTATGCATGTATGAGTGTTAACGGATTTAAGCGTTAATTATACGAAATCAACATAATTTAACAGACATAGTACGACTTGAGGATCTAACCGAATTTGACAAAACACTTTTGAAAAATTTAATTAATTATTGGCCATTATACAATCGAAACAGCACTTAACTTATGTACATGCACATGTGCATGTATATGTGCAGATACAGAACTACGATTAATTCGTTTCAAACGCAATTCAATGGATATATGATATTAAGTTTGAATTCCTACGGGCTCAATATTTTCTAGCTTGCTTACCTATGTAATCTTTGTATACCGTTTTATACTAAACTTACTGTACAGGGTATATTAAGTTAGTGCGGACGTAGGTAACAAGCAGAGGGCTTCAGATAGACCCATAGGTCGCAATTTTTTAAATTTTTTGATGAAATTTGGTACGCGATATCGAAAATGATCCGGATTGCTCCACTTTTTCGACCACTTACCGCACAACGCCCTAAAATTGCAATTTGCCAAATTTCTGTGCAAAAGTGGCTAAGCAGTAGTATTTCGGCATACTAAATTGGTGTGAACACTTCCCTCCGCATATAGCCGTTCCTATAGAAAATGAATCTGTATATGGTATAACGGTCGAATTTTCAACTCTTCACGATAAAACTGGCTCATAATAGTAAATTGATAAAAAAACCAACGTTACCGAATTGGCACAACGTAGGTTCACATATGGGGACTCGCAGGAAACCTAAGCCCTTAGATGCCTAGAAAGCTTAGTTGTTAATATTTTTGTGATGAAACTTTGTTCATGATAGTAATTAAATAAAAACAATTAAGTGGACTTAATTTGAACTGCATGGATATATATCTTGCCACTGCTGCATATAAGAGTAGTAATCCCATGAATAGTAAGCCATTCGGAATAAGGCTTCATTTTTAATATTTTATGATGAAAAATAATTCATAATGTAACGTTTGAGCAAAAAAAATTTAAGGATAGGGAATTTGAATGATATAGGTCTACTTTTTGAACCCTAACGTATACAGGTGCAGCAAGTCTAACCTTCTAATATGCGGGCTTCCATCACGAACATAATATGTACATTTTGCTGTATTATTACCACGAGTGAAAGCGAGTGAATAACTATGCTAGACAAAAATGGGGGGTTGGGTACGCAAAAGTCGACATTGCCCGACCATAATGTTCTTATTTGTTTTAGTTTCAAATTTCTCACATTCAGATTGGGAGTGTACTAAATCTGTCAGACGTTATTAACGTCCACAAATAAGAACGCTGGAGACGCTTCATTAACTGTTCATCGAAAGAAGAAAGTACAAGGAATTGTCAAAACGTAAAAACATCCATTCATCGAATTAAACAGTTATGAACTGATACGAAATCGTTTTCAAAAATTACTACTTAAGCTTATTTCCGTATAAAATGCACAAAGAATTTGATCTCAAAATTCTGCGTTTCCTTTCCAATGAAATTCGCTTTGCAAATTGCTAATAATAGCGGAAAAGAGCTGACGCATTAATTTCTTACCAACAACACACACATTCGTGTGTTTGGTACAAAGCATTTGAGGGAGAGGAGCCTGAATGATTGAAATATTGCCTCGCTCTGAACGACTATAAATGTTATTCAAATTGCGACACTTTCGTACAAACCGTACGAAAAATGCTTATATTGACTCATCGATCAGCGCGCGATCTTTCATTTAAGATTCGTATTTGCTCACATTTTCATTTCATAATTTTGTGATAAAGCGGAAATACTTGTTTTTAAAAAAAAAAAACTTTTATTTTTCCAAATATGTAGCAATAAAATCGTAAGTGAGTCAAGCGAACCCCTTCCGGTAATCCAGTGTTAAGAAAGCGATCAAGATAAAATTCATTTTTTTTTTCTTTCGTATTGCAAAAGGACATTATCTCTATTCAACTATCTGAGACTAATTATTGGTACGCATGAAAATTCCTACCTGCCGCTGGTATGCCTATTCATTTTTCACTTTAGTTCTCTCATTCTCCGACAGCTTTTATATTATGACCAATGGAATAAAAGACAGGCATGCGGAATAAAGAAATTAAAAAAAGAAGAGGACGCAAACGTAACGTATAAATGAATGCGATTAGTTTTTCTAAGCGAAGTTTTAATGCCTACGTTAAGTGTGGATGTAGGTGTCTAGCTTCAAATCGCTCTCATCATGAGACAAGTAAGCCGCGATTGATAAATATTTAAGGAAATGAATACACTTTTCACTATTAGGAGCTGAACTAGTTTAAACGTTACAAAAAACATATAAGAACATTATAGTCGGGCAATGCCGACCATTAAATACCTTACATCGCTTCGTCTAGTACAGTACTTCACTCGTAAGTGAATTCACTTCAGTGCACTAACAATACCACATTACTTTGAAGCAAAATCACACTTCACACGAAAGCCCGCATATTGAAAGATCCTTACAGCATCGCATGGTGTAATCCAAATTTAGTAAACTTAATTTACTTTCAAAAAATTTTATTACTTTTCCGTTTCCGTCATAAAAGACTGGAAATTTGACTTCCTCTCCATATAAGGATTTGCTTTTCCTGATATTCTCTGAGCATGCCAGGGTCTACAAAACAGGGCCTATGTGATCCAAGTTCCCTATAGGAAATTTTTTGCTAAATTGCTTTTAAATAAAATGGTAAAAATCGCAAATTTAGCAAACATAATTGATTTTCTAAAAATTTTATTACATATCCGTCCGTAAAAACTTAGACTGAACAGACACATATACAATACAATGTATACAATAAACAAAAGGACTTGAGACAGACCCACAACCTTTATTATAGAAAGTGGTTCTGAATTGATCTGAGCTTGTCTGCCCGTTCCCTTATTTTTGTACAACCTACTGGCCGTCATTTTTTAGATATTTGATATGAAATTTAGTACACAGATATGTTTCGGGCAAAAGTCGAATGCCACTGCAAATGGTTTCGATTGGATCACCTTTTCGACCACTTCCCATATAATCCCTTATTTCGAAAAGTCGTTTTATAAATAATTATATTAAGCGACGTGATATAGTATAGTAATATATTTAATGGTAGGCCGTGGACCACTATAGCATTTTTACTTATTTGAATTTGATATAATTAAAAAAGGCATACTCTCCATGAAAGCCCGCATGGAACATTGGAGCATGGTCAAATCATCGGGTTATGTAATCCAGATTTAGGAAAATTAAAATTTACTTTCAAAAAATTTTATTATTTTCCAATTTCCGTTATAAAAAACTGGAAATCAGACTTTCTTCCTATACAACGGCTTGCTTTTCATGATAATCTCTATACATGCTAGGGTCCAAAAAATAGAGCTCAATGATCAAAGCTCCCCATTGTTAATTTTTTTGCTAAACTTTTATCATAAAGTAGTAAAAACTAAACCTTCATTTGAAAGGCCTATGCTATGCATGAGAAACTTTATATGGAATGAGATCCACGAAACAGACCCATATGTTTTAAATTTAGTCTACTTAATTTTTATAACAAATTACTAATATGAACTAATTTGCACTATACAACATTGAGAATCATCATTATTTTTATCATATAAAGATTCAGTTTTCGTGGGAATGGTTACATAAGAGTGAGTTCAAAAAAATACGTCAGTCGAATCAAATTTTTCATAGCAATTTAGCATGTCAAACTATTACTATTCAGGGGGTTTTGTCGGAAAAACTTTAAAGTGGCAATTTTTCTATGGTGAGTCGTCGAAAAAGTGGAGGTTGGGATCGAAAAACGCCTGATTTGGTAAAGGGATACAACTAAAATGCGACATAATCTGAGAAGTTCTTAGCCTTTTGGGATTTTTTAGTCCCTACACACGATAAACATTTTTTCACATATTCCATAAAAATAAAAATAATCAGCGACGCTCGCCTAATAATGTAGACTGACTCTTGAAAATATATTCCACATTTTTTGTTACTTTTGTAGCCTTTTTTGGGATAAAAGTGGTAAACATAGAAAATTCCGCTACAGCTGAATATAGTTTTTCTATTATACATGAAAATGTTTAATTTTTTGGTGTATTATTGCCAAAACAAATGAATAACTGTACTAGGCGAAGTGATGTGCAATATCAAAAGGTCGGCGTTGCCCGGCTGTAAAATTCTTGCTTGTTATATTGAAAGTTTGTTTTTATACGTGAAGCTGAATCGAATTAAAAGAGAGGCTTAACAAGCAAAAAACATAAAGATAAACATAAACAATTCAAGTCAACAAATATAAATATTTTAGGTAATTTAAACGCTTACATATGCGCATGGTACATAGTTGCAATTTTGCGCGTTTTCCTATCAAATGTACCGCTAAAAAAAAAAAGCTTAACCTTTAAACCTTTGAAACCCTTTTGAAAACGGACGAAATTCTCCTTTATTTCGACAATGCATAGACTACGAGCCGAGAGGATTAGCTCATCATTTTATATATCGTTTCAAATTTTTCTTTTGCGCTTGGCTCTTCATCTTCAAAATAGTTTTATCAATTTTTAGCGATTTTCTTTCGGATAATTCGGAATTTTTCTTTTGTTTTAACTCGACAATTGGCAACAGTAACACATTTCAGTTTATCTAACAGCTTATCACATGTGACCTACAACCATGCTAACGACCAACATAAAATAATGATTACATACTTTTATAATTTTTGTTTGCGTTATTTTTACATACCAAACAAGAGATTTTTAGAATACCGGAAATTGATTTTAAGTAACTGGCATCATATTTGAATTCTGTAGACATTATTGATCTTAATAATAACAACAGTAATAATAATAATAATAATAATAATAGTGGTAATAATAATAATAATAATAATAGTAACAGTAATAATAACAATAATAAAGATTTTACTGATGATTCATGAATTATTTCAAATTTTATTTAATTTTATTTTATATTTCCTTAAAAAGAAAAAAAGTCACGACTAATTGCATTGCATTGCTTATCACATTTATTTATTTATGTAAACTATAGATTTAAAAGAACTATAATTCTTTTTCGATTCTTTAATATAATATATTTTATGTAAAATTTATAAAACCAATATTCTACTCTTTTAATTCTTCTCATGCTTCCACTTGTTAAACTTTTTAAAAACTAAATAAAACCCTTCATACAATAAAGCGAATAATCTACAGAAGAGAGCAAAAGTATGCAAAAGAGATAAAGAGAAGCAGAGACAGCCGCGCGCTAGCATTCTGATAACGAGAGAACAACAAATGCATTTTATTATATTATATTATTCTTGTATCAAATATAAACAAAAAAAAAACAAAAAAAAAAAAACCACAAACGCGCGCGTACGCGTACAGAATTTATGCAGAGAAAAATTTTCGCATTAAAATATTTGATTTATAGTCAAACTCAAAATACTATACTATTCAAATATTATTTACTCTACGGCTGGAAAGGTAAACGGCAAAAAAATTAAGTGTTGTAGTTGGCATTAATTTAGCACTGCTATGTATACATATATATGCCATACCGTAAATAGTAAAAGCCATGCAAGCGTGAACGAGAAATTTTTGTTATCAATCACTTAAACGAATTCTTTCTTTTTCAGTTTTTGTTCAATTTCACTTTTTTACCGTATCCACGCTAACAAATAGTAAAATTTCATAAAATGATAAAGTAAGCCTCAGTAATAAATGGACCATGATTTCCAAAGCTACCTAAAGCTTAAAGAAAACAAATGAAGAGACTGTAGTGGGACACGGCCCACCATTAAATGTCCTACATTACTTTGTTTAATACAGTTATTCATATAAGGGAATTTTCAAATATAAAAGAATGTTGTGAGTAAGGGACGGTCGGAGAAGTGTTCCAATCTGAAATATTTCCAATAGCGTTCGCGGTTGGGTCAAAACAGTTCGGTATACCAAATTCCATCAAAATATATCCAAAAATTGCGATCTGTAGGTTGAATACAAAAAAAAATAAAACAGATACCCAAGCGAACGCACATACGGACACACACAAACTTATCGATCGATATAATAAAAGATTGATCTATCTCAAGTCATGCAAGTTATTGCATGCATCCGCAAAAACTTAACATACCCTTGTACCCCAAGTGACGCAGGGTACAATGATAAAGATTGAAAAGATTAGAAACATTCAGAATTGACGAGTCAATAGCTGCCACCTTGCAAAGGTAATTGAAATGAATGAGAAAACATTAGCAAAGAGTTTTCGTCGTATGAAACACCACTTAAAAGCTTGGTGACAACACCAAGATCGGAGACCTAAATATATTGATTTTTTCGTTTTACACCCATCGCCAAAGGTTGAAGGGTACATTCGTTTTATCAAAACGTTCGCAACGCCCACAAGAAAGCTTGAGAGAAAGTATATATATATTCTTGATCAGTACGAATCGATTTAAGCATATTCGCCTGTTCATCTGTCCGTCTGTGCAATGCCTGTTGAAAACACTCTCCTGGCGTCAAGCTATTTGCTCCAACTACGATCCATGAAAACATTTTTATACTACCAGGAACTAGTCTAAATGTTATTATTATTACCAATTTAACCAGGGAAATAAATTCTAAGACTAAAGTCTAAAAGTATTAGTATCTAAGACTATCGACTTTATTAAAAACTCTACAACATTTGAGATTCGGATCTCCGACTATTGAGTTGCTAGTCGAGATTCTTTACTTTTGACCACTCACCCGGATTTTATCTAAATAATTTATATATTTACAACCAAATAAAATTCTTTTAAATTACTAGGTATTTGTATCATGTCGTTTATGTTTTAATAAACATATTAGAAAAATCAACAAACAGATCTATCGTTTACAAAGTTCGCAAACGCTTTAACGCTCCCTTATTCCCAATTTCACCTTAAAGCAGGTGCTACGGTGCAGGGTATTTAATAGCAGCCTTGTTCGACTACAATTACTCTACTTGTTTCTTGTGGTGATGGTTTTTTCGCGGTCTATGTAGAATTCGTAGTATAAGTACTTCAATGTAAATGAAGCCAACTTTCTAAAACAAGTGCAATACAAATAAGCATGCCCATAGTAAACAAAATATATGTGTTATTATAAAAGAAACAGCAGAGAAAAAAAAAGAAGAAATGAAAAGAAAAGAAAAATCAACTTTTATGGAAAGAAAAGTCAACGGATGCTAAATCCCCCTAACATTCACCATCATCATTTCATTCGTCTCATTGGAATTCTTATTCTTATTATAGTCTCTTGACTAGCATCGTTAGCTATTTCCTTTCGGCATTGAGTTACTTAAAATTTTGGCGATTTTCTTTCAGAGACTTCCTTGGCTATAGATACTCTGAGGCGTAATGTTTTATTTTAAATTTCTTCGAGGATATGAATCTTTTATCAATAATTTCGAAAAGTTAATTGTACTTATAATTTGACTTTACGCATGTAATAATAAATAAATCGAATACTATATAATTTTTCCTTATTGTACGTTTTCTAGTAAGCAAAATAAAACGTTTATTGAGTCTTCGTTTCTTTCAATAATTTTATATGAAATACTCATCGGCAGTATAAAGTTATAATATTCTTAGAAACTATTTTCGTCCTGTTCTAATGCACGATGAAAGAATGAATAAATTACTAGCTAACATATGACACTAAAACGACAATTAAAGTATTTAAAGTACACAATGCTTGCGCCCGGCATTTATTAAAGCAAATCAAGAGAAATCTTTCTTGTGTGCCTTCTTTTACGTAAAAAGTTCTTTACTAAAATATTCTTTTTTGGACTAAGATTCTCAGAATAAAATTCACTTTATTGTGCATTTCTTACGCAATAACCGGACTGCTCTTTAATCCAAGTAAGGAGCATGACAGCAGAGAACTAATTAATATGATAGATGGCATAACTGTTATAATTTTCTAATGAAATGTCTTAGATTTCTGTTGATTTATTTGGTTCGTGTCCAAAATTTCATAAACTCAATATACATTTCATGTGGCAATACTGTTTGCAGTTGACACAATCAATTTCAGATGATGCCATCTCTTATTGTGTCAAAAAATTGTGAGCGAAAATGTGTATGTGTCGCAATGAGAGCGAGAGAGAGAAAGAAAGAAAGAGAGAAAACGATATTAATGTGCAAAGAAAGAAATTGATTTTATATTTTATGTGAAGTTTTCATGAAAATAAACCAATAAATTTCCTTAAAAATTCAGTGATTTTACTCTAATTTAATAAACAATTGTAATTATGGCCGATAAACTTCCGAGTGCTATGCCATCAGCCAGTGAACCATTTCCAGGTAAAAGAAAAAGTCTAAAGTATGAAAAAACCTGCCCTACGAATGTGGGAGAAAGAAAACAAAATAAGACTGGATCGAAATTCAATGTCATTTTCTCCTTTTTAACACGCATTGACTTTTGATTTAAGGTTCACGAACACCGGGCTGGAATGATCCACCTACGCTGGAGTTTAATCCGGTGTCGGCGAGGCCAGGTAACCAACGTACGAGATTGAATTTACATAAAAGGGCGGCTTTTCCACTACAGGGCATTGGGAGTGGTGAATTAAGCGGTGGAAAGCCCACAGCCATAGTAACCCCTCAAGCGAATTGCGGCTTCCCACCGCCACCGCCACCTCCAATGAGCAGCGTGTCAGCATCACATCCGATAGCCGTAGTACATCCTATGCCTCATGCCAATCTAACCAGCTTAAATACAGCTGGCGAGCAGGAAACTCTAAATTTACCGGGTAATGCCACGACTGCAATTTTTCGTACGCTAAGAGATCAAATTGGTTCAGTGCAGGAATCAATAAGTGTAAGACGCGAAGATATCGAACGGCGTCTATCCATTATAGAACGATTATGGCAAACGGGTAATCTCTGTGTAGAAGTGAAACAAAAAATCTATGATCTCAGTCGGGCGGTCGCCCGTAAACAATATACTGAGGCTATGGAAATATACACAACTTTGGTGGCAAATCATGCCAATGAGTGTGCCTCGTGGGCTATAACATTACGACATATTATTCTTACTGTGGAACACGAGAACGTTGTCAGTGACAGCAATATTTTATCGAATGCTCCAAATGTGCCCACAATGCTTGTACCCGCCATGCCACGTACTAACAATTCCCAGAGTAGTGACGCATCAACTGCTGCCACCCACAGGGTGCGACAATGATAAAAATGCTGGCCCCGGTCCTGATACCACCATTACGCAGTACATCGTTTATTAAGAAAGAAGTGAAAACAGTATACAAATCTACTAATTAATCACACATACACACATATACATATTTCCAGAAATACAAGTATTGTTAAGCATTTTGGTTGCCTCCTGAATATACCCTAAAGCAAAAGCTTTTAATGCTTCCACGATTTTGATAACATTGAAGAAAAAACGAGCTCAATATAATATTAAAAATTATAAAGCTTACCGTCGTTCTTTTCTACGATCAACGCTATTATATATATTTTTTATTTTTTTTTTTTTTTGGCATTACTATCGATAATAACCAAGAGCATTTCGTGAATCGACTGTTCGGTATATTATATGTCGCTTAATTTCTTTAGTCCTAAATGGGTAGTCTTCTCTCACTCCTCAGCTTTATATATGAACGTATGTTAATCTCTTCTGTATTTATGTTAATAATTTATTTAAATCTTCATTTATGACCATTAGATGTCTCTAAATTCCGGCGTAATCAGACGATATAATTTGAAATAACAATTTTTCAAGTATATATAAATTTTAATGACGCTAATAATGAATTACTCTTTTGTTTATTGTATAACAAGCAAAGTTTAAAAGAAAATAAAAATTTTAACATTCAAAAAGACAAAACGGAAAAAAGAATTTGCAAGCGAGTTTAATAATAATAAGCAACACTAAAGGTAAATTCAAGAAGGATACGTAATTTTTAATTAAATGTGATTTTGTCGTTAATTCACATCAAATGTAAAATATTTCTTGAATTAATTGGAAATTTCATATGATCGTCACCGTTTACCACGGCAACTTTTCGCCATCATATTGATAGAAACCGCCATTATGCGTAGCATTTAATTGCAAAACAGTATCAACTAGCTTTGTCATAGTTTCGTCCACCTCCAGAGGAGCTCTGGAGCCACCTAAATCGGTACGTACCCAGCCCGGGTGTAAAGCTACGCATAGAATCTTATCAGCAAGCAAATCGATGCTCAAGGATTTCGTCGCGGCGTTCAGAGCCGCTTTTGAAGTCCGATAAGCGTATAAACCACCGTCCGCATTCGCTTCAATCGATCCCAATATGGAACTCATATTTAATATGGCAGCACGTTGAACACCAAAATCAAAATTTGATTGAACAGTAGCAGCTTTTTTCAACAGGGGTAAACAAGCCTTTAAATATTAATGAAATTAGAAGGAATTTTTTTACATCACAACGTATCATGTTGTTTTACAACCTTAGCCAGCATTATCGGGACCACTGTATTAGTCTCTAAAGTGTTCATTAAATCATCCTTTTTAGTAGCAGTAATTTTAGTCGATTTTGGCGCTATGCCCGCATTATTAAAAAGCACATTTAATCCATTGTTCTCAGTAATCTCTTCGATTTGTTTAATCAAATTTTCGTAAGCATCATAATTGCGTAAATCTATTGAAAATGATGTAAAAATAGAGTAAAAATTGGCATATTGAGTCGAAAGATGTAAGAACTTTAAGAAGATGATGATTTAAAGGTGAAGATTCATTTACTTTAATATTTTTCCGCATCTTTAACGAATTGAATTGTCTTAATTAAGTTTAACAAATCTTTCAAAATCAAAATATCTTAGTTATGTACTTCTATATATTGCTCCAAAGATTTGGATAGATTTATTATTATATTTTACCAATTTCCAAAATGTGGATATTCGAGTTTTGAGCAGCCAAGTCTTGCAGTTCCTGTAAAGTGAAAAATAATTTAGACAAGAAAAGTTTACAAATAGTATACGCATAAAGTCCATATAGTTTTCATATATATCTACGATATGTACTATTATTTAGCAATCTCAACGAATCACTTCTATTGAATGTATTAAAATACAAAATTTGCCTGAATAGTTCTGATGGACAGCGATGCAATTAGAAATGAATATTTTAAATCTCTATAAACCAAGCAAAAAAAACGATAATTGCGAAAAGTCATCAAATAGTTCTAATTTCGGCATCTATTAATATATGCATTACGTGTGACACTAGTTCACACTTAATAATTTAAGTAAAACTCTCCATAGGAATATTACGGCAAATTAACTAAATTTCAAATTTGCTCAGACATCAAGAGTAAGAAAAATTTCAGATTAATTTTACAATTTTAGGGAATATTTTAAAATTTCAATCTAAAATTTCTCCTTGTTTTTCTTATTGCCGGCGAATGCGTAAATTAGTTTAATCGAATTTTGAAAATAACTTTATCGCCGACTACGATAAGATGCGGAAATTTGTTTGAAATTTTCAAGTTGTACAGAGGGATTTAGTTTGCTATACAATGCTAGTCGCGAGAAGTCTTATGAGCGAATATAAAAATTACCTTTTTCCTAAGTAATCTTGGAATCTTAAGCCACTTTGTAATGAAAATTAAAAAAAACATTTTTTTTCTACCGTTGTAGCGTAAATAAACACATCTAAGCGTTGTTGAAAATTTCTTCATAAAACGAGATGACGATCAGAAATGCAACCATGTCCCTATTGATAAAAATGACAGTTAGACATTAGAAATGAGAGAATAATTATTTCTGTACTAGTGAGAGCAAGGTATGTAAAGAGATTGGGAGGTAAAAAGCGAAAGAACATAAAAAAGCTAAAAAAAGGCCAACTTAAGAGGTAAAAAGTAATTGTAAGTCTGTCATAATATTTATTTCGTTTTTACATTTCCAACAGTGGATACAAGGTTCTTTTTTGTTCCCTTCACCTTTGATATATTTATCATAACAAGCAACATATTTTCAAACTATCATTTCTTATTTGTGGTAATTTTTATACGAGACATTACGGAGTTAGAAAAGGACGTTATGATGACCCAGACGCAAGCAGCAGCACCAGCAAGTAAGTAGACATATATATATAAAAGTTTATTCATTTCGGATACGCTTACCTTGGCCTGATCCTTATTGCGACATGTAGCAAACAAATATTGCGGCGGTTTAGGCAATCTCGTTAAAGCTTTAACAATACCTAAACCCAAACCTCGATTACAACCGGTTATTAATATGGAATTCATTTTATTCAAAATGCTAATTATTGACTGAAACTCACTGCAAAAAAAAAAGGAAAACAAATAAATAACTTTCGCGCAACAAGCACAAACGTTCCTCGCGAAATGTAATCTTGAAATGTGTATAAAAATAAGTCAAACTTCCGTGAAAAGTGATTATTTGTGCGCATATATATGCATATATATAGAGATATGTTTAAAAATGCTGGTTTTAACAATTTGATATGCGGTTAATTGGGTTTTAATTAAAAATTTATTTGGACAGATACGAAGGAAAAACCAAACAAGATAAGCTTTTAAAGAAATCTGTCTACGTGTAAATATGTATATATATATATAAATAAAATATATAAATATTTATGAGAAATTTATGGAGAAAACGAAGACATGTAAAAATGTCGGTCTTTTACATGATTCCTGGTTCCATCAACCTTTTCTCTTTTTCTATTTTTTCGAAGTCATAGCCTTTCTCTCGTTTTCTCATTCTCTTTTATATTTTCGCTTTACATTGGAATCTGTTAATTCTTTCTTTTTATTTTTTGTCTCGTGTGAAATAAGTTCCGATAGAATTGTCAATACATGACTTGTCAAAAACTAACCGTTTCAGTGTAAAGTGAAGCTGTTTCATATTTTGTCTTATTATATTCCTTAAGAAATAAATTGAAAATACCAAAGAAGGAAAAAAAAAAGGAAAAAAAAACAATCAATTCATTATGACACTGTTTACCATTCGAAGTGCAAAAGTTGTTGTTACTTTGTTGCGTTTCACACAAAAAAAATCGTCAATAGTAGCAACAGTAGCCCAACAACGATGGGTTTCTACGCCAACAGTTGCAGGAGTATGCCAGAATGAATGTATGTAATGAACATATTATTGAACGACTATTGTTTTTTTATTTTATTAATTATGTTTATATAAACCATCTCATATTTGCTTCCTTGAAGTTATATAATTTACTGAAATGGTAGAAAATTTTGAAATTGTGTTGTCATGATGTAGCAACATCACTACTACTTACCGGGCTTTTTTTCTTTTCTTTTTTTTTTTTTGATCGTTTTTTGTTTTATTTTTTGTTTTTCTCTGATTTTGTGCTTCGTTCGCAACGTTCTCAGCTGTTTATTCGTAAACTATTTCGCTTTCACTGAAAGCTTGTGACAAATTTTAGAAGAGAATATCTCTTGAAAGCGAAATCCCATATAATGCCGCATTGTTCGTCCAAAATCTTATATTGTAAAATGATCAATTTTAAACTTGCATTTAAGTCCAAGTTATTTGCAAATTTTCTCGCTGGCCTAGAATTATAAAAAATTCAATAAGCATACTTATCAAAATGAATAGAAAAATGCAGTTTAAAGCATATCTCTGCTGGAGCTACTTTTCGTATTGTGGAAGTGATTTCAACCAACATTTTTAATAAAAGTGATTTTTATGTTAATGAAGTATTGAAGCAATAGGTTTCCCTATTGTAAAGTAAAAGCAATTTTTCACTGAAGTGCGCTTCAATCATAATTTTTTTTGTGACGATTTTTGAAAATGCCTTTTCAAACATCAAAGATAAGTTTAGAAAACCTGTTAAGTCCCCTTCAAGATGTTCTCCACGATGTTGCGTAATTTTCATTTATTTTCTTCGCGGTTACGGCATGATATTCGCTTCCGATTTCAACCTGAGCCCTTATTAAATCGTTCTTCGAACCTGGCGTTACGGTCAAACCAATTTGTGTCGTGTTACAAGATGAATTTCATTTTTAAGTCGCTACCTCTGACAGAGGGCACAGGAGGAATTGCCTTATACTCAGAAAAATTTATTGCTATGTTGTTGGGTCGCACGTGCCATACACTAGCCGCCTGTTTTAGGTACAAACTGTACAATTTTCTTTCAGCTGACTACACAGAGTTTTAATCGAGGATACTGAAAGGCGTGAAATTCGAAATAATGTTTGTATAGTGACATGCTACCAACACAACAGTGCAAGTAAATAGTGGACTAATGTCATGGTATTTTACGATCGTTTTTGTTTTCTTTATAAACGTTACCATGACATAATCTATAGCCCAAACTAGAAATTGGTTTATCAAAATCGATAGTGTGTGTGAATATATTAGCAAGTGTTTAAATTATCTGTTGTGTCGTTTAGGTGCTGTTTTAACGTTTTTTAAGCAACTGTACACCGCATTAATCTAAACAGTTAATAATTTTTAACTTTATTGCCGCATATTAATAGTAAATGAATGGAGTGATTATAAATGAATAATATGTAATAAGTTTTACTATTGCGTCCATGTAACTGAATTTGCAACATATATGAATGTTGTAGAATTATAGTTAAAATAGAAAAAAACTTAGGGAAATTTTAACCCTTACGTGACTTTCAGTTTCGTATAAATCACGATTACGTTAAGATGAATAATCCTTCTCATTGTGGTTGATACGACCAAGAGAGGAGCAGAAAATCAATATATATATATATATATATTGTTAAGAAATGTGTAGGCAAAGGAAACGTGATAGTTCTCAAATTGTATTTTAACAAATAACAAGAAATATATTGATAGCATTGCCTTCTTTAATTGCTATCTTGATAAGCGTTATACAATTATATGAATTATTTTGTATTTTTGTCTGCTTCGGAAGCAAAAAACATTAAAGATACACGTCGTTCAGTTTATCAATCAAATTATCTTGACATACGCGTAAAACAAGAAATAATGAGCGAAGAAAACGAAAGCAACATCAATTTGAATTATTTATTGATAGACGACGGGGAAGAGGATGAGCACAGTAAGAGAATAATACTTAAATAATTAATTGTGCCGTTATTATGCTTACCGCGTGATACAGTTAGTTCAGTTCATTACACGTTTTCAAGACATAGAATTATAACTGCGCTGAAGATGAACAATAGAATCAAATTGGATCTAAAACCGATCACCGTTGTATTGGATTTCTTATTGGTTTATGAGGCTGAACATTTTTTTTTTTTTAAGATAGTGTATCTAATCTTAAATTCTTTCCTTTTTACTTTATTAGATTATCTTCAAAAATAGTCGAAATATGTTCATCACAGATAAGTGATCTAATTATCAAGATCGATTGTGGCTTCTATGACGTTCATTGTGGCCTCAAATATTCAGATGCATTACGTCAAAGCGCGAGCCTTGTTTCTTCGTCTTCTTCTTCATACGCGACAAAAGTAGAAGCTTCGTAGATACGATCAATCGAATCGCCTTCGTACTAAATCATACCTTCGACACGCACCCTTCATATTTTTTGATCGTCAAGAGTTACTTAGGCGGGGAGATTTTGGAAAAGTCTTAATAGATTTGTCTTGAGTCTTTTTCATTCAACCTTCTCTTGCTTTAGCCATCTTCATGCATAGTCCATTTTCGCTAGAAATTTGTGCACATTAGTCCGGCCTTTAGGTCTCTAAGCTTTACATTTCATTAACAAGCCTCTCAAGCGATCACGTGATATGTACACACATAATAATAATATCCAAGAAACTAATTTATATGTTAGTTCACATTGTTTGATCTGTAGATATTATATATGATATGAATTATATATATATATATATATACATATATATATATATATATATATATTTAAAGATATTATGTATTAGATATGAAAAAGAACGGACCTTCATCTGGGTGTATAAGCGAAAATAAATTAATCACATAGTGAAAAGAGCTTACGTTTATAAAGCCAATTACGTTTGCACCAGCGTCTTATTTTATTATTATTGCTTTTCGGGTTTTCTTAATTTATTTAAATAAGAAAAATATATTTTTAATTATTATTAATTAAAATAATTTAATAATATACATTTTCTCGCATTTATATTTATTTATTAAAATATACATATTCGCTTTCTTATGAGTTCTTATGCCCACCATCAGAGTGTATGGGAGGAATACAGTAATTGTTTTTCCTGTCTAAAAGTCTATTTGGTCATCCCCGTCACATTGCAGGCGGTTATTTTAAAGCTCAAAATATAACAAAGGTATAAAGTTGGAACTTAATGTATATGACCCCAAATGACGACCAAAAGACAGATCGGAAACATAATCCATTCACGTACAAATAGGTTATCTCTCCACAGTATCTAAAAACAGGAAATCTGCAATCGAGTAGAAATATTTAGCAATTCAAACATATAGCGTTTGCAGCTGCTCCCGCTAGAAGAATTTCATCCACATAATGTTTTTCTCGCCACTGAGCAAACGTTGAAGCAAAATGTATGGTGGGCGAAGTGAATGCGCCCCGGAGTTGCATTCGATTAGAATGATTTATTGGGGAATGTGTTAACTATCGATGAAATTTCGAATTCTCCCACCAATCAAAAATTGGAAATCCACTTTTCAGCTTCTAGTTATCAAGATTTTTACATAAAAAAAAAAAAAAAAAATCGGGAAAATAAAACGCACACGCACTTGTCGTTCAGTCTACAAGACTGAAAGACCTGTATGACCTTGGAGTGCGCGGTATTTAAATTTGATCCAAAATATTTTTTTTCTGTCAACTTTTGTTTTGTTGTCTAGGGGGAGTAGTCATTAGCCGTATTCGTGACAATAAAAATTTTTTTTTTTTTTATAGAATCGCTGTTATGTGCTTCGACATTTGACGTCGCCGCTTAATTAGTACACATTCCTTTTGCAAGTCATTTGAAAGAAAGAAGAATTCGTAATATAATATTCTCGCTGCTAGTTATAACTTATCGTTGCATCATTCTCTGTATTTATTGTTTATATCGACAATGGGTAATTTATCTACATCTGTCAATATATGTATATATATATATACATATATATACGAGGTGTGCGCCAAAAATATTTATTCATCAATGTTTTGTCCCCTTCAAAGTAATCCCCCTTAGATATAATACACTTTTGCCAATGTTTTTACTAATTCCCGAACCATTTTTGATATGCGTTTTTTTGCTATGGCCTTGAGCTATGTCAGCGATGCGTTCTTTATTTCCTTAATGGTGGGAAAATCCGTCCTTTCATGGGCCTTTTCAGCGTCTTTACCAGTTATTGACGCTTTCGAGCAAATATAGATCGTCGTTTACGTTATACAACAGCTGGTGCGCGATATTCGGGTTCTTTTGGTTAAAATTTTGCAATTGCAGAAAAAATTTCGCTGCCATACGTATAATGCCCAAAACATCCGAAAGAATTGCATTGCGTGAGACAACCGATATGCCGGCAACCGCTCCTCTAACCGTGATTTGACGATCCTCCATAACAATTTTCTTCACTGCTTCAACGTTTTTATCTGTTGAACATAGAAGTTCTGACAGAAAGTTCGTTCCAATTTAATGCTTTTAATCTTTCCATTAAAGTGAACGTTGGAACTGCTCTCTCATCTCCGTCACATCAGTCCGTTACTCGGTACGCTGTAAGAATGTATGAGCGCCAAATTATATCTTTTAGGATTTTCTACTTTATGGAGAATTAAGAATACACTAATATTGATTTTTAAGACACCCCCGAACTGTTATCCATTTATTAAGCATCTTATGATTTTCAGTATTGAATAAATTGCAGCATTTTTTTTATGATTGATGTAAAGGCGAAAAGCAGAGTTTCTCAGTTCGATGCCTTCGCCACGTTGACAAGAAGATTGACGTTAAGGCCGCAAGTTTCAGAAATAGTATTCTTATATCTATATATCGGATGTATATTGAATTTTATAATGTGCGCACATATATATTCAGATTTAGTTTTTTTCTTCAACATAACACATTTGAATTCTGAATGAGTTGATAATTCTGTCGTCTTGTCAACTAACCTCTACTTTATTATTGTTGGCAGTGTAGGCAGAATAGGTAGGAAGAATGGGCCGCGCAACCCTGGCATTCCAATCACTCATCAATAATCTCTACCTATTCTTTCTTTAATGCTAGATTTACAGCCTGTGTGTGTGTGTGCATGACCTTTTCGAATTTTTGACCTTAAAAGAAAAATGGTTATAAAGCAAATAAAATTACAACATATTTTGATGCTTTTCTGTTTAAACGAAACGACCTTTAAATACCCATAATCAGTGCTCGTCTTCGTGAGCCAGCTTTCGATATACCGATGATATATACCTATTATTACCATTATCGCTACAGCCACAAGGTATGATACTTCTTGATCGATTAAGAACGTGAGACTAAACAGTGGGTGTGATGGACCCGCAATCCGAAAGAAACTGAAACATTCATCGATTTTTTTATAACTGCTGATCCCATAAAGATATTTCCGAAAACCTGAGATGCAGATGTTCGCCAGAATCATTTTTCATCAATCAGTCTAAAAATGGTCGGGATCGGTTTATTAATTCGGCTACAATTGACGGTAAAATTTTAATTGCAATATATTTACCATAAATGGTAAATCCACCGTCATTAACATGCATTAGCATTTTTTCTACACAATTGTAAATAAACTAGAAATGAATTGCAATTAAAACTTTATCGTTAATTATTGATGTATTACTAAACTGATCAAAAGCGTTTCGGACCAACATTTAGGTATCAAATTTTCGAATATATCTTTACAGGATATAATAATATGAAAAAAATGTCGGCGTCTTTTCGAGGTTTTCTCAGCTTGTAATCTGTTGAAGGCGTGTATGTTGTTAAATCATAACCACTTTGTAAGCTTGTGCTCGTAATTGGTCAAGGAATGTTTGTATCCAAATTCATCTTTCTTTTTTAATTTTTGCGATTTTAGCGATCTCACGAATATAATGGGATAAGACGACCGATCACGTCATGATATATGCCACCTCTAGGGTTTTTTATTAAGCATAAAACATATTTTACAAAAATATGCGTAAATCTCTTTAGTTATGTAAACGAAAACATATTCTTCCTTAACTTTGATTCTCAACCGAATAAAATGCGTTGGTCCCGTCGTTGTTATAATGTAATATACAAGCATAACGTGCACCTGCATACTTAATAGAACCTGCATATAATATAGTATAATAAATTAAATAGTTCTATGAAGAAGAATTTCCACCTTTCAGGCTTTCCTAATTATTGTTGAGAACACCTTCGAATCGATTTCATTGATTTGAATGACGAGAAAAACTTCAGTCCAAACTCATTATCGGTTTTAGAGAACGTTTGAATGTTACAATTGCGGTCTTTATGGACAGACGGACAGACACCGTTAAATCTGCCCGCTATTTGCGTTATCTTTTACGTACTTAAGTGGCCTATTAAGCAATGTATAGACGAAGGGAATATATGAAAAGGACCTCGTGTAATACTCCAAAGTAAGGAGCGTATCAATTGTACAATTGAAATTATATTCACGTCATCATTATATACATACATAATTCTAATTAGTATGACTAACAATTTAAAATCGATGCCTGTTACATTTACACATATATGTCTATACTTTCGTTTATGAGCGCATTCGCATACCCAGTTTCAAAATGAATCTATGCAAATAAACTAAGAATATATGAATGCCAAGTTCAGATACAAATTATAAATTGTTGCTAATGTTAGTAAACATAGCGGGAGCGTAAGCATTTCAAAGCGCATTTTTAGACGTTACACACGAAATGGCAACGGGATAGTATTTCCCGCTCTTTTCACCCTTAGAAAAACGTTAATTACTACAATTAAATCTTTCATGAATCATATGAATTAGCATTTTTTTTTTTCTTTTAAATTCGCAACTATAGAGTAACTGACATATTAGACTTCTTCTGCCGTTTGAAACATTTAAAAATTCATACATGCCCGAAGCACCATGAAGTGTTTGGTTCCGAGTCCATTTCATTTCGCACATTTATACATGGACGTTTATTGCTTGAAGTTGATTTATCACATCGTTCAATAATTTAATAGTGGGATTTAAACATGCCCTGGATAGTATCAATCTTCATATGATACATTTTTCATGACTTTCTGACGATTAGTTTGCAAATTGCTGTGTTTTTAACGAAATTACTTTCCTAGTCGGTTTGGATTGCTTTCGCAGGCTGCTCTCCATTTGGCTGGACTGAAGCGAAGTAATGAATTCATGATGATATTGTCACTTCCAACAGCGCTCTGAATTATTAACATCTTGCTTGTCAAAGGTGAGTGTAAACGCGGCACCCACCGCGAACAGCGCTTTCTCACTGACAAATGTACATCGCGATGTCAGCTATCTAACCCAACTGCGTTTTTCGATCTTCCAAGACTATTTTGTACATATTTATTGTGTTTTCCGGAACGACAATCAGAGCGTTCATCATCATTGGTGTTCATACGACTGCGTTTAAAATAAGTGAACCACCTATTCTATCTATTTTTTCGACAAACAAGAGTCATCAGAATATCTTCGAAGCCAACGCTGCCTGTGAACGATATTTTTTCAAAAAACTTACTATGATCTTAAAAAATTGCAATGAAACATTTGCAATTTGTAAACCAATTGTCGGTATGCCATGGAATTTTCATATGTATCCCTTAAAGATACGTATTACTTAGAAACTATGGGTCTGGTAGCAGTGCGGCCAAATATGTAACAGACCGGAGAGTTACTGAGTGATGTGTTATTATTCTTAGTCGATGGTAGGTTACAAATCGCATTTGAAACCCCGTTCGTCGATCGGTGCAAACCAGGACCACAATAGTTAAAACACTTATAAGAGATCTAGATCGAAAATTTGTTAGAAATATATATATATATATATATATATTTTTATATATATATATTTTTTTTTTTTTTGCTACAAATGAAAAATATCAAAATTGACTGATTGACACGCCTATATTGACTATGATATTTTCCAATTATAATTTTAATATCGATTTAAGATGGTGGGTATTAGAGGTTCGGCCTAAGACGAATATCACTTTCGTTACTTCTTATATTTCACGACAAAATAAAAATTTTTATTGGAAATTTTAACATTTTTTTTATTATTGAGTCACATAACTGCATTTTATTTATCACAGCTAAATATGGTTATGATTTAATTGTTATCGGCGGAGGCTCCGGCGGCTTAGCATGTGCCAAGGAAGCAGTTGTAAACGGTGCTAAAGTAGCTTGCTTAGACTTTGTAAAACCAACACCGCATGGTTCGAAATGGGGTCTGGGCGGAACATGCGTCAATGTAGGCTGTGTACCAAAAAAACTAATGCATCAAGCTTCACTTTTGGGTGAGGCTCTTTATGTAAGTTTGAGCATAAAAAAAGAAAAAAGAAAATTTATATTATTAAGAGTATTTCTCATGCTTTATCGAAAGGATGCTCAAGCATACGGCTGGGAAATTCCAGATGCTGAAAACATTAAACCCGATTGGGGCAAATTAGTGCAGTCAGTACAAAATCACATTAAATCGATTAATTGGGTAACTCGAGTAGATTTGCGTGATAAGTATGTTTTCTCTTATTTTATAATTAGCAATAGCGCATGATAATGCGTTCTGATTGTAGGAAGATAGAATACCTCAACGGCTTGGGTTCATTCAGGGATTCTCACACTATTCTAGTAAAAATGAAAAATGATACCGAACGGACTGTTTCGGCCAGAAATATTGTTATTGCTGTAGGTGGTCGTCCCCGTTATCCCGATATACCTGGCGCTGAGTTAGGCATTACCAGCGATGATCTATTCAGTTTGGATAAGCCGCCGGGCAGAACTCTAATTGTTGGTGCTGGCTGTAAGTAATTTGTTTTTCAGTTTATATCATCGTTCATTTGATTTTGTTTTTCCTACTTTTTATAGACATTGGCTTAGAATGCGCTGGCTTCTTGCGGGGTTTGGGTTACGATGCCACCGTTATGGTACGTTCGATTATATTGCGCGGTTTCGATCAACAAATGGCCAATATGGTCGCTGATTCCATGGTTGAGCACGGTGTTAAATTTATCCACAAGACCATTCCCAAAAGTGTTGAGAAAACACTTCATAACACTTATTTGGTAAAATACATAAATATTGAAACCGAAGAAGAGGGATGCGATGAATACGATACCGTAATGTGGGCCATTGGTCGTAAAGGTCTGGTTGAAGACCTTAATCTTACCTCTATTGGCATTGAATTGAAGAACGATAAAATCCTAGTAAATGATGCCGAACAAACTAACGTTTCCAATGTATACGCCGTAGGTGATATTACATACGGGCGGCCAGAATTGACTCCGGTAGCCATACATGCTGGCCGTTTGCTGGCACGACGCTTGTTTGGTAATTCTACTCAACTGATGGACTACTGCAATGTAGCGACCACAGTTTTTTCGCCTTTGGAATACGCCTGTGTAGGCATGTCGGAGGAAGATGCTGCGCAAGAGTATGGCGAAGATAATATTGAGGTATTTCACGGCTTCTATAAGCCCACGGAATTCTTTATACCGCAAAAGAGTGTTAGGTACTGCTACGTAAAAGCCGTAGCTGAGCGTAGTGGCGATCAGAGAGTATTAGGCCTTCACTATCTGGGTCCCGTAGCTGGTGAGGTTATACAAGGCTTTGCTGCAGCCGTCAAGTGAGTGCTTTTTAAACCAGCTTCAGTTTCTTTTATCAATTGTTAATTGTTATTGTTGTATACGTTTTTAGATGTGGTTTAACCATGAAAATCTTAATGAATACCGTCGGTATACATCCTACTACCGCTGAAGAATTTACTCGTCTCAATATAACCAAACGTTCCGGTGCGGATCCTACTCCGGCTTCATGTTGCAGTTAAGTTTACATAGAGAAGTTACTCAGACTCTACAGACTCTACTCTGTTGTCTCTTCAATAATAAAATAATCGGTTATCTCCTTTGATTCAAAAGATTTCATATAAATTTATCCGGAAATTTGTATGTTTAGAGTATTATTAAACAAAAAGAAGCAGATTTTTCCGTTTGCCGCCGAATTGTAACTAAGCTTAAATCTATTACAAAAAAAAAAAACCGACTTAAACACCAAAATAATACGAAATAAAAATTTTTTAATGCAATCGTTTATCTTAATCTTATTATTATTATTATTATTAATTTCGCCAGGGAAATAAATTCTAAAACTAAACTCTTAAAAGCACTAGCATCTAAGGCTATCGGCTTTTATTAAAAACTCTACCGCACTTGAGATTCGAATCCACGACCAATGACTTGCTAGTCGAGATTCCTCGCCTTCAGCTACTGAGGCGGATATAATTTTAAATAAAATGTAAGTCTTTGTTTATTCTCCTTTTTAATATTGAGTTATCGACAGCAAAATAAAATTTCCAAAAATTGTACAAAATTGTCAAATATAATATTAACAAACCCATACGCAAGTTGCGTTAACTATTAATACATCATACATTACAAGGAGAAGATATGTGAATTATTTAAAAGGTACTATTTACCGGTTATGTTTTATATCCGGTACGACGCTGGTGTCGAAATTTGTTAATAATTGTTTTCGCTACGGCGATGGGCATCGACGTGGTTGTTAGTTTTAATAAGTTTTCTTTTTTGGAAAATTGATTAATAACCATTGTTAATTTTGAAAATTTTGTTTTGTAATAGTGAATTAATTCAATATAACTAACACTCTCTTTGGAAAAATAAAAAAAAACAGAAAAGTATTATTATTAAATGTTAAAATACTGGTAAGACTTCCTGAGGATGACGGAGGGGCGAGGGAAAAGTAGTATGGTTAGGTCATAGATTTATATTAGTCAAAAGTTTCGAAATTTTTAGTAAGCATGTTTTATTTAAAATAATGAAATATTGTAGCGAAGCAAGAACCTATCACGTATCTGAATACATTTTGTTTGGACCCACCCCATCCGACGAGCCAGGCCGGAAAACATGCGAACAAAAAAAAAGAGAAAAAATAAACAATAACATCCGTGCATAGGTTGAATTTCCGAAACGTTACAAGGGGTACGAATAAGTGGACATAAGGTCAGATGAACGGCCAAACTGGCAAGGCCAAATAGCTCAGGTTTGTATATTACTGAGGCATCTTTATGCTTTTCGGCTTCGGCAGTTTTTTCTGAGCATTAGCAGATCTCAGGAGTTCCGCCCGTCTTAAATCGATTTGTTACTGGCGGTAATACGCGGTTTTTTTTTTTGCAAATATAGTAAGCACGAAGCCTGAATTGGCTTAGGTCAGTCTTAAGAGAGAGAAAATCCAACTTTTGGCTTTATAAGAACAATACGTTTCCTGCAGAGCAAAGCAGAGCTTTTAGTAAAAATAAGCTGAAGATGTCCTTAAAAATTTGATGCGAACTCGTAAAAAGTAAAGGCAAGCAACACACTGGGCTTCACTGGGGGGACTGCAAGAACATTAGGATCTTTTATGAGAAAATGTATGAAAAGTGTAGCGAACGTTGCTTTAAAGTGAGCTTAAGTGACCGCCTTTTAACGAACATTCATTGTCTCAGTCCTAATGGGAATAAATGGGGGAGAAAGAGAAAAAAAAAAGAAGAAGAAAATAAATAAATAAATAAATAAATACATTATAAAATATTTGCATTTATAGGTAAATATAATTATGAACTCTTACACCTATCACCTAATCTTGCTATCGCATTCTTTAAAGTCTACCAAAGCAACTTTGCTTAATACGCGCAATTTGCCTACGTCGTAGTTAAACTAACTTTTAATCTTGACATCTCATTATGATTTGAAAATTAGTTGGTGTTGTTCATCGTGTCGGTTGCTAAGCTCTTGTATGTTTGCGATGGATATCACTGCAGAAGTGATATTTGTTGCGTGCGAGGAGAAATCAAAGGGGAGTTAATCGTTGTGAATCAATTCAATACTTTTAACTATATATTATTTGCATAAATGGTTAATATTTGTATTTAAGGATGTACATACATACATACATACATACATACATAGAACAATACGTTTTTATATAGTGTTTCTATATCATTTAGAGGTGGGCCAGTGACACTTCATCTGTCATTTGGCTCTTTCCAATTTTTATATTTGCAAAGTGATAAGCCAAGGTCTACACATTGCCTCGAAACAAATAAACTCGTTTTTATTATGAAAATATAAAACATGAGTAAAGAGTTTAGCGTCCGATCATTAATGTTTGCTACTATTTTCTTTTTTTCTTTGAGGGGATCTTCAGCTACAACATCTTATTATTAGGTAGTTAAAGAAAAAAAAATCTTTGTCGATCGTAAGAACAGCTATTTAGATACCACAGTAATTGTTCATCTGTCAACTTATGCCAATATTTTTAAGAACAAAATGAAGGCGTGACAGCTCAATCAATCGCTTGTACCGATACGGGTTACAATTTACTTACCACTTGGAGAGTTAAATTTTAGCGAGCGTCGAAGGAGTTTTTTCGGAAAAATTGAATTTAAGAAATGATTTCAGTTTTTTTGTGAACGAAAAAAAACTGGAATCTTATTTTAAAGCTGTAACTAATATCACGAGCAAATTGGATGAAAAATGAGAAACCGGTACGACAAGGTCAAAAATTGTAATTTCGAAGAAAACTAGGACATTAACTTCACTCCTAATCCTCTGTGCTGCGTCATGCCATATTTTGGTTCCATGGCATCGACCACTTTTGTGTGTATGATCGGATTGTGCTTAAAAATTTTTTTCATCGCCAATCGCTGCCTACGCTTGCTGACTTGTCTAGCGCTTTAAAAATGCTTGCAACACAGCTCTACGATTATGTTCGGAAAATTGACTTGTTTATTTGTATTTATATCGCAATGTACATAGTGAACTCTATTCTTCCATCAATTTGCTGTTCGAATTATTAAGAGCGCTAGAGTTGTTATATAGAAATGTTATAATATACATTATGTATTAGATTTGCGTGGATGTATGTATAACATCCGGAAGGGATTAGGGTCGGTACAGCTTTTACTGTACCGATCCATTTACAATCAGTTCCTGAATCGATTTCATCTTATCTGTACGTCTGATGATGGCGACCAATGTACTTTTGCGTTCAACCTTTAGGTCACAATTTTTAGTACACTGACCTGTTCTGGCCCAAAGGCCCACCCACCCACCTTTTGAACCCGTTCTAATTTTTTTATTTTTACGACGAAAATTCTTTCATAATCACGTAATTGAAGGCTTAAAAGCTAATTAAAGTGAAATTTAATCACATAGGTCTATTTTTTTTAAATTCAGCTACTAGTTTGTGAAGGAGAAAGGTGAAAATTAAGAGGACCGTTGAGGAAAACAGTTCAATTTGCTAAATTTCGGTCACATGACATCACACTTCTGCATAATTTATGGCATTTTATATTTTTAAAATTGATATAAAAGAAAATAATTGCATTAGTGCAGGGTATTATTGCAGGGCATAATAGCTGACCGACCGTAATGTTTTTTTACTTTTTCTGTATTTCAAATGAATAGGCATCATAATTTTCGTAAACAGTTCATATTTTTAAGTAACATGGTATCTAATTCAAATGTATTGGTCGGTTGTAGGAACTGTTGAAGGGTTGCGAAAAAGGGATAGAAGACAAAAATTTTGCGAATATATACTTAATTGGTCACTATCTGCTTGCATCTGTGCTGACAATAACTGAAAATAATTACAATTTCAAGTAAGTAGGAGAACTATATTCACCGCGGGCGGTGAATACGAATCACCCAAAATCAATGCATAAAATTGTAAAATGGTTTGGTAATTGTGGGCGTACTGGCAAGCTGATCATAACTATTCATGTTCAAACTGTGAAATTATAGGCGGTTGCATATATTTTGATCAGAAATATCTATTGGCGAAAATGATAAAGTAACGCGAACTGTCAAGTGCCAATGTACACATCCTTTAATTCGACGACTTTGACGTTTCTCTACATAAAATAACGGTTTTCCATTTAGTGTATCCAGACGCTGATCATGGAACGCTCAAAATTTCATTTTTGACATTCATTGCTTTTGTTGTTTGATTTGAAGAAATCTACTGCCGAACTCCATTAAACATTTCTAGAAGCTTTTGATAATGCTGCACTGTCATATCCCAATTGTCGGTTTTGTTTTGAACGATTTAAAAGCAGTGATTTTGATATCAATGACGGAGAACAGCCTGAAGGACCAAAAAAGTTCCAAGATAATGAATTTTAAGACGTATTGGACGAAAATCAAGCTCAAACTCTCAAAGAATTTTCGAATGGTTTGGCAATTGATGAGTCAACTGCTTCTAGTCATTTACATATGATGGGAAATATCTAAGAGGAGAGAAAATGACTACCACACCCATTGATGGAAAATGCCGTTTCGAACCGCTCCAATAGCGCGATTTCACAGTTTTCTAAGCAACAAGAGCAGAGTTTGCTATGGCGTATTGCGACTGGCGACGAAACTGTTACTGCAGACGTCTATCGACGTCAATTGAACGAATTGGACGATGTAAGGTTGCAAAAGGGACAAGCAATAGTGGACGCAACATACACTTCTTGCACGACAACGCTTGGCCCCACGCTACAAGAGTCGTCAAGCATACCCTGTTGCAGCTCGAGTTGGAAGTTCTGCCATGCTCAGCGTACTCATCTGACGTAGCACCTTCTGGTTACCACTTGTTAAGACCGATGCAACATGGCACGATTGGCTGGCACGCCGTTTCGAAATGATGAAGAAGTGCGAAAATGGGTCAACAGTCGGATCGTTGCGAAACCAATATCGCTCTTTCGACACGTCATCGCCATGTTTCCAAAAAGATGGGAAAACGTTGAAGATAATTATGGAAAATATTAGTTTGGGGAAAAAGAAATCCATTATTTTTTCGGTAGATGGCTGCACTGATAGATTTCTCGTAAAGTATCGATCAAACAATTTCATATTTATGCTCGTTGGAAAGGTGACATTTCGCAGTAAAAAAATTCTTTTGCTGTTTTTTGTTTGGTGCATTCAGTTGTG